AAAAAAGTTACCTAGTATTGTCTTCATGAAATCTTCCCACATGCAGAAGAACAAAAAAGCTCTGCAGCAATATAATGATTAAAACACTTGAAGCTATATTTGGTCAAATAGAAGAGAGATAAGATAACGGTTGGTTTTTCTCTTTGTTGCAAAAGCATAAAATTGACCGTCACCAGTCTTCATTGAACTATACTTTGAAGCACTGGTCGGATGTCGCTAGAAAAATTTAGAATGGAGACGGTTCTAAGAAAAAAAGCACTTGCTTGTTCGAGCTTATAGCAAACGACTCAGCTTGAAACGCCTTGTGTTGTGAAACTAGGCAGATTAGTTATTGCAGTTTATATGAAATTTAAAGCAAATTGCTGTCTCAATTTGGAAAAGCTTCGCATGTTTTCCCATATTTTGTTCTCCTGACGAAACCAAAAACTTATACTGAATCGAGCGCTTTCAAAATTTTCGAAATAGGTACGATCATTACACTTCGATCTACAAACCAGGTAGTGAAATTTCATATGGTAATCTACCAAAAGTACCCTGCAGTTCCTTACAGCCATGCTTTGCACTGGAGACCCATGCGCTACAGCTATTCACATCAACGCACTAAGCACTGCACAGACATTGCGGCGGCAGACACTAGTCAAATGTGCGAATGTCCATAAACCATCTGCGAGTCATTGACTTCGATTAAAAAAAAAACGGTGAAAGGTACACCCCAGCACGACGTCTAAGCAAAATGTAAAGAAGTTGTAGAATAACACCTGATATTACCTGATTAATAACATCGAGGCAGACGGAACCGCTCGCTTCATCGATGTTCGGATGGAAGATTTTATTCATAAATCCTATCGAAGGTGATTTGAATGGATACTTCTCTGGCAGTTCAACGCGTACTCGCCAAACGCCGCCTTCATAAGCAGCTGGAACAGTTCCATACATACGAAACGAAAAACAAAATGAGAAGACCAAAAAGCTACTCACTTCCAGAGGGTCCATAGAATTTGACATTAAATTCATTGAGTCCGCCTGTGATATTGACTTCATGCTTGCTTTCGATACTAAAATAAGAAGAACGTAAATGATATTAGTATACATACGAAATGTCCAAAGACTATGCGCCAAAATTATTTACATTCCCAAAATTTGTTATTTCGCCGATCAGCATACCCATCCATGGAGTCGTAAAAGTTACCAACAACACAGTGATGGCGCGATTTGGCGCACTGTATGCAAAATAATACAGGATCACACGCTCAAATATCAACAGCCAGAAGGCGCAATGCGACCAACTTTGGAAGCGTTTATCCTGACGGAAACAAGCCACAAATTCTCCTGCCTAGACTCTCCGAGAGGGGTGCATCGAGCTAATAACTATGCCATGAAAGGAAGAATGACTGAACTGCAGCTCGTTGAGTAGGTAAGAAAAGAACAAAGACTGGACAGGCTTAGAAGAGAAGACGAAGAAGGCTATTTCTAATATGCTGGGTTACTGCTGTTAACAGTAAATTTCTAGAAAAAAAAAACAGAATGGATCTGATGTATGTGGCCAACCAGTAGATATCGCATTTGACAAGTTGACATACAAGCCAGGCTGCCACATAAGCTGTGATTGGGTAAGTGGCAGCTCCCGCCACGCCCATACGCAGCATTCTTTACCATAGAAAAGCATTTCTTCGACATTCTTAGAAGATGCAAGCACAATATGAACAGCGTACGTGACGCTTCCGCTGAGAGACTGTCCCACTTCGGAAGTCCAGCAGGCACTGGCTTTCGGTTACCAAACACATTCACAAACCTATTCTGATGTTTTATAAAGCGAAAGCTTGAAAGAGAGGCATGTAGAGAATTTTGTTCAGCTCTCGCAACTGTTACGCCATGGAGGGGTGTATGTTGATATTAGAACCCTCCAAATATTTTCATTCTGTAATTGGATCACTAGCTATTTATGAGCGCTTACTATCACTAGTCACGGACATCATTAGCTCGAAGCCATATAGGTTCATGCTGATGGCAGTCCTTTTCAGGAAGCACATCCATTTTAGGTCAAAAAAGGATGAAAACCCACCCCAGCTCCTTGAATTGCCAAGTCTGACTATCGCGAAATCCCGCCATACGCCGTACTTGATCCGCCTCATCCACTTCGCTATCGGCCACATCAATGAACTGACCAATTGTAGGGAGGATGTGGAGGATCAAGCGGAT